TGCCCCTATAAGTAAAGAAAAATTTAAAATGAATTATGGCTTGGGAATTTAAATTTGAATATAATCTAAAAAATTTAATTAGTATCAAATTTACACAAAGGCTACCAGATCCACAACTTTGATGCAGTAGCGGACATAAGGTGTTGTTAAGGAGGTCTCAAATGATACTTCACATTCATTAGTATGTCACACAAATTTATTTACTTAATTTTATCTCTTGCACATGCTTTGTGAGACGCTCTTTGGCTTTGAGTATTTTGCTTTGAAAAATGGGCAAATTGTTTGAAAATTTTGCGTTTCTTAAAGTATTTTTAGTTTTTTAAGAGTTTAAATATACTCGTATGTGCTCTAACTAGTACATAAAATAATTAGTATATGATCTAGAAATGTTGTGTGGGTTGAATATATGTTTGGACTAATATGTAATCTACCATGAGAAACATTGAAGTTTAATTAAAAATTTCTTTCTAAAAATCTCAGTCATAATCATTAAATGATTCATATTCTCGAGTGGGTCACGTTATCTATAAAACAAAATCACAAGTCCCACTTTAGTCAGTTCGATCCTCCTTATTAAAAGGACTCGAGTTGAGATGATCAATGTTTTAATTATATTCAAGTGATAAATATTAATAAAAATTATAATTATGAATGATACAACTATGCAAATGATCATCCCTGATGATGGATATGTTCAAAGTGAACGTCAAATGAAAGTTTATTTTTCATAAATCAAAATTTCAAATTATAACATTTTAAAAGATATAGTCAAATGTAATATCACTAAATCTTAAAACAAATTTCATCTACCCTCTACAACTGATACCGGAGTTGGCCCAAACAATAATAGAAAAATTAAATATTATTATTGGAAAACCGATCAGGTTGTTACAACTCACACTGAAAGGAAAATTACAACCAACTAGATGAAAATATAAATAACAACACACCTAACACATGACACGTGGCTAGGATTGGATCAAGGGTGGTGGAGATGGGTCGATGAGGGTTGGAAGGTGGCGGGATGATGGACGAGGTGGTCAACAAACATAAAACAAAAAAAAATGATGGTTTAACGGGTTCCAACAACAAGCAAGCAACCGATATCGATGTGGCGTGACTATCCGGGATGAGTGCTATAAGGGTGCTGAGTATTGGTTCAAATTCTGGTAGTGGACAACAAGTGAAGAGTTTGCAAGCTGGCGAAGGTAGGAGACGAGGATAGCAAGGGAAAGGAAAGAACTGTAGGGAATACAACTACAAGTTGTTCGAGCGGCTGCAGCAGGGACGAAATAGATGGGAGCGACGTGGGAGGAGACAAAAGTGAATAGGGGATAATAACCACCATTTCGGGGGAGGGATACAACAAAAAGACCTTCAATCCGTTGGATGCAGCTCTCGAAAAGAGTAAAACAGACGTCGACTGCTTTCCTAAACAAAACGCAAAAAATTCCTCTCTAAACCCTAATACAAAACATATACAAGAAAAGTCTAGAAATGAACGAAAGGAAAGGAGGAAACTCGCTAAAAATTGAAAATGAGTCGAAAACCGGCCGCTCAGTTCAGCTCTATGTCTCCTGCATGAATCAGCGTCCGGATATTGTGGCAATGTCGTGGAAAGGAAGGGGGTGTGGCTTCTGATAGCTCCTGTGTCAACAATAGTTTATCGAAATTGACAAAATTGAGGTTACCTTGAACTTATAAGGAGTTATTATTGTTTTAAGTATATTACCATATTGATACTCAAAATAATCTTATGCCAATAAAGACATGGCTAAGGCTCTTTGTTAATGTGATTTAACTAGTCGGCTCCACAAATGTTGTTATGATCAAAACCTTATGATCGGGTGGTTTGGCTAGAGAGACTCTACTATATGATGGTTATGATTGCAGAACATATGTCATGAATGACTTCATGCCTTTTGAGTCGTGAATCATATGGTATATCTGATATGACACAAAGTTTTATATTAGCTAATATTGAGTTGAAGTTGTTCACTTATAAAAACATTTACTCTAAGTTTATAAGATTTCCTCGAATAAAAGAACCTATAGCTGCTGAAAAAATTTATGTTGTGAAGTTGAGTCGACTCTCCTTTGTTTAAGTAGATTAGAAATCTTGGCATCCAAGCTGAGAAAACTATAATATTTTGATCAAGCTTCGAATCATCCACTCTAAGTTCATGGTAATAAATTTTATAAAAAAAACTGCTACTAATGCTGAGCGATCTTTGCCCTAATGCTTATGATACGATTCACAATAGAGTTTCTCACAGAAATTAGGGAAAACTAATATTTTATTGTAAGAACATCAAAAAACTCAGTACAAATACATAAAATAAGCACCTACAATTTGAGGGGTAAACAATCTTTCCCAAATGCCACGATTCGATAGGTTGGAAATCACTCACAAATCCTATTCCTAAGACTTAAGATAACAATCTCATGCATAATCTTAACCCTAAGCAAATTTGCCTTATTATACTAAAATATAATAAATAATAAAAAATTAAAATGCCGTTAAGCTATCACAAGACAAAATTGCCCTTAGGATAGGTACCAGACTAACAATACTCTCCTCGCAAAAAGACATCCTCAAGGTGGGAAAAACTAATGTTTGATCAAGTCTTATGGTTTTCACTGTTCTTCGTTATCTGATAATCTTTTCCATTTGATCAGAAATTCACATGATGCTCAGAAATTTGAAATGCATCTTGTGGACATCCTTCGGCCGCATTTGAATCAGATGGTGACCTGACTTTTCGGTCAATCTTAGAAAATATCGCAGTCCCAAATAGCACATTCCATAACTTATTAACACCAAAATTTCTATCAACTTCGTATCATGTGTCGTTTCCATCTCTACCAACTCGATCATTCTTATTTTTGTTTGTTGAAGCCATCTGAATGTCGCATTATTTATTCAAAGTACTGCTGCTTGAGTCTGCTCTTGATTTCTTCACTCGATACCACTGCCCCAGATCCCCCTAAGGCAGCAATGCTACTCTGATATTGCGTGAATTCTTCTGGTTGCTATTGCTGGGGTCTGTTTCCCATGTCCTTGCTCAATCTCGCGGCGGCCGGAAGTGAGTTTGTGTGAAACCTCTTGATCTTCTTAATCGTTTTCTTTCACAGTCATGAATCTCCTCTCGAACTACCCTCCATGGACGAGAAATGTTTGTCTATTTCAGATTTGATGTGGCTCAACTCTTCCGTAATTTTTCCTCCATATAATCAATTTTTTTTGGGCTATTACTCCATGTATAGTTTACGAACTCCTTTGCGTTGAAATCCTGTCGTTGGCTTCGTTGGTAGCCAAAATCACGACTGTTCCATAAGGCATTTAAGCTGCAATCGCTTGCTTTTAGATCGCACAATTCGGTCACTTAGATTGCAACTAGGGTAAGTTGAATCGTCGTGCTTCTCAAATCGCAGCCAAGGCAAACGAAATTGTGCTTCTTGACAACCTCAATTTTGCGCCCATACGGTTAGCTCTAATCATAACTTTATCTCTTGGACGGAGCTGGAGGATGTGATTTTTGGGTCACCATAAATTGTCATGCTTTCGAACTAGCTCCAATCGTGATTCTTTTGTGAGGTGAGATCACGAAAAGCATCACCTGTATGCCACAATCCTTTCCTATGCTGCGATCCTGATCCTTCTGCACATCGCAATCCCATAGTTTTTTCCTGGATAAAATTGCAACCGTAGCTTCCCATTGCGATCCCGTTGCAACAGCTCCGTGATTACACGTAGTTATCTTGTCGTGCTTCTCGTGGCTAGAATCTGTGAATACATTGCTGATTTTCCAAGATTCGAGAGCTCTGATACCATTTGATTCGATCTGAGACATTTTTTTCCATTGAAATTAGGGCAACAAATATTTTATTGCAAGAACATTAAACAGCTTAGCACAAATACATAAGATAAACACCTACAATTCGAGAGATATGCAATCTCTCTCAAATCCTACAATTTGAGAAGTAGAAATTCTCTCTCAAACTTTAATTCTAAGACTTCTTAACACCAAATATGTTAAGCCTATTTATACTAAACAATAATAAATAATAACAAACTAAATTGCCCTTTAGCTAAAACAAGACAAAATTGCTCTTAGGCAAGACACTGGGGTAACATATTAGTCTTAATCGAAAGTATTCTCCCATTATCAAGAGTAATTAACCATATGGACTTGCGCCTATGACAAATCTCGAACCTTAGATTTTAAAGTTCTCGCAAAATGTGGGAGAAATGTCTTGATAGTGTCTTATTTACAATTTCATCTGTTTATAAAAAATTGACCCATAGCTTCATGTAAAGCACTCAATTCTCATTCATTTCAAGGGGGATCGGGTGCAAATTTTCGGAGCCCAAAAGACAGGTGCCTTTAAAAAGCATGACATAAAAGTTGTTTCTCACCTTTTGATTTTTGCAACATTATGGTATTGTCAAAGTTATGTACTGAATAACCCTGCCACATATGGAAATCATATTTAGTCGAGTCATAGTTTTTATTATGAACCTCATAGGGTGAAGTAGAATTCAAATGTTTCTTATAAAAAGCAACGTTAGAACGTTGCATTAGATATGACCTATGTCTCCTGGGTTTAGCCTATTGTTGAGTTTGCATGGATGTCATTTTATTTCAAGTAACTTGAAAGCGGTTAATGATGGTGAGTATTCAATCTTTTCATCAAGAATTTGAGATTGCATTTGGGATCACTTGTTTTGGCAAATTGCTTTGCTTGGAATATGACCAATGTGAAAATTTTAAACTTTTCAGTTTTATTGCACGGGAATGGTCAAACTAATGGAAATGCTGATGTTTGTACATTTTATTTTGTGATGGTTGATGTAGGGTATTGGAATGGGTGTGTATACCTGCACACATATGCACCTGTTTTGCTGGATACTTTTAGTCTTTTCCCTTTGCTACGAAGCCTCAAAATTTACTTTTTTTTTCGGCCTTTTTATTAAATTGAATTCATTAATTTCACAGGACACGTCCCGTGCATGCTATGGCCCTAGACATGTTGAAGTAGCAAACGAGCGAATAGCTATTCAAACTCTTCTAATTACAGATAGCCTTTTCAAGTAAGATTTTTCTTATTTCCACCTTCCGTATCAATAATTTATATGAACCAATTAAACATTAGGGTTTAGATTTTTACCATCATAGACAGTGATGCTATAGAAGTTCAAGTTTTGAAATTAATTATTTTGATTTCTTCTTAGCGAACCTCTTCACCTAGTCTGCATGGATTGAGTATCTAATTTCTTAACTATCAAGCTGCAATGGAAACGTAGATTGACCATTAGTAATATCAATGGAAAACAAAATATTATGGGATCATTACATCGGTGTCCCATCCATTTCAGGCAAGTCGCACAGAATTTGTGGTTATTTTTATTATTAGGGATTGGGTTTTAGCGGGTTCATCTAAAAGAAGTTCTTAACTGACTGATGCGGGAGTTAACCCAACCACAATAGGATAAACAAATATTATTACTAATAAAATCCATAGGCAATTACAATTGACACACTTGAAAGGAAATAAAAAAAAAACTCATTAACCCAACTCAAATTAGGGTGGATCTCGTGGTGGTGGTGATCGGAGAGTGATTTGCAGTGATGGGTTGTGGTGAGATGGTTGGCCAGCAGAAAACAGCAAGGTAGCGGTTCCTCTGGTTCCGGACTGCAAGCAGACCGCGGATAACGTGGAGCAACTGTTCTTGATCATGTCAGCAATTGGGAAGGGGAAGGGTGCAGTTTCTGAAGGCACAGCATGTGAGAAGGGAAGGGGCGGTGGCTGGGGAGGCCGGGACACCCAGGGACAGCAGTTCGAGTGCGGAGGGAAAGATAGTGGTAGCTGGAACAGCCGCGAAGCTGCAGGGAAAAGTGATCTGGATGGCTGGAACGGCTGGAAACAAGTCGGGAACAGCTATTCGGGTCTTCGGCAGCAAGGGGGAATGATGTTGGCGGCAATGGGGGATGCAGGGGATTGCAAGACAGCTAGAGGATGGCTTTCCGGGGCGGCGGCAGCAAGGAAAGATGTCTGGAAGTAGAAAAATTGCAATGAAAACAGCGACGGCGGTTGTTCAGGGGTGGTTGCAACAATATAGGGCGGTTGGGGAGGATGTGAAAGGGAATAGAGAAGATAATTATCACATCAGGAGAGAGATAGCCGGAGCGCAACCCAAACCTTCAGCTACAGTCCGCCAAAGGAGAAAATGGATGTTTGCGGTTGTCCTAAATAAACCCACACAAAAATAATCCCAAAAACATCATAAAAGCAAATATATAGTAATAGGATAACTAGGAGTGGCCCAAAAGTACCTACCAAGTCCCCACAATGAAAATACCTGGACCGATTTGGTCCAGGGACGAGAGGTTGCTTTGCTTCTTGTTGCAACAAATCTCGTGTGAGCGGGATACGCCCCGTGTCAGTCTTCCAGGATTGGGAGAGCTTTGACCTCATTCATCAAAGCTTCTGTTTGCACGTTAAAGGTGGTGGAGCTGCTATAATCTCTTGGCGTTGAAGGCTCTTTGATTGTGTCGATATCAATGCTTGGATCTCACCGACGATTGTATTATTCCCCAAAACGCTGATCTATGTCGGTCCAACCCTCTGGAGATACACTGCTGGATTGGACTGGGGGGGTGATATGGTGGAATGCTAGAAACCCTATGGTAGGACTAGGGTAAGACTTGCTCTGATACCAAATGATAGCAGAGCTAAACCAAACCACTATAGGAAAAATAAATATTATTACTAATAAAGTCAATAGGCGATTATAATTTACACACATGAAATGAAAAAACAACAGACTTAACAACCCAGCTCAAATTATAGTGGATCTCAGGGTGATGGTGGCGGTTGGAAGGTGGCGAGGGGTGGATGAGATGCTCTGCTAGCAGAAATAACAAGATAGCAGTTCCCGAGGTTTTGTATATTAATCATGCAATGGATAACAATGTGGGACAACTGTCCTTAATGATGGTAACAAGTGGAATGGGATAGGGCGCAGGTTCTGTAAGCGATAGCTCATGGGAAGGGAAGGAACAATGATTGGGGAGGTTGGGACAGGCAGAGACACCAGGATGATTGTGGAGTGGACCGTAGTGGTGACTGGAATGATGGTGAGGCTATAGGGAAAGGAGGTATGGATGGCTGGAACGGCTGGAAAATAGCTGAGAATGAGTATTCGGGTCATCAACAATGAGTGGGAATGTCAGTAGTGACTACGGGGCCTTCAGGAATCTACAGGACAGCAAGAGGATAGCTGTCCGGGGTGGCGGTAGCGGGAACAGGTGTCTAGAAGTTTAAAAACTATCGTGAAAATAGCTACAAAGGCTGTTCGTAGACGGTTGTAACAATGGAGGGCCGTCAGGAGTGACATGAGGATGTGGAGGGGATATGAAAAATGATCACCATCTCAAGTGAGAGATATAGCCGGAGCACCATTTGAATACAACCATCAAAGGGAGAAAGCGAATGTTGTCTGATGTCCTAAAAAAACTCACTAAAAAACTAACCCTAAAACATTAGGCATGAGCACACGCTTCGCTTCTAGTCGTATGAAATCCCGCTTGAGTGGGATATGCTCTGCGTCAGTTTCTTTTGATTGGGGAAATGTTGATCTCATTCGTTAAAGCTTATGTCTGCACGTTGAAGGTGACAGAGCCGCTGTAACATCCCGGGGTTGAAGGGTCTTTCACTGTGTTGATATGAGCACTAGATCCCACTGACGGTTGCACTATCCCCAAAACACCCGAGCAGTTTTCCCCACTTTCGAGCAACCATCCATATCGTTTCAACCCTCTGAGGATACATTGTTGGATTGAACCAAGATTTATTTCTAAATATACTCTGCAAAGTATTCCAAATGCGCCAAGTTAACTCGTTCCTATCTGGCGTGAGGATAAACCAAACTCCTAACAGTGGCGACTATAGCAATAAGCTATCGAACATGATATCACAAAAATCTTTCTTTATTGGCTGCCCTGTGTCTGAAACTCACTCTTTTGTCTCGTTATCCTGTGTCATAACTAGGACTAATCCTCCCGATACGTCTCTACTAGCAAGGACAATTGTAATCTTAGACTCCGCAGATTGTATAAGAATTATGCGCTTGTCATATTTGGTGAATGAGTAGGTATTCCTGTACCCATCATGTTGAGTCTTACGATCGTACTCACGGTCTCCCCAACAAAAGGTAACGAACATCCATGGTTACCACGGCTGGCTCCAAATCGAAAGCATCAAAATACATCTGTCAGTGTTGATCATGTTCTCCTTCTTCAATCATGTGAGGGAATATGGCGGGTTGTCTCTATGTCATGATGCTCAACTTATCCATCATCAATGTTGACGCCACATTCTTGCTGCTACTTCCATCAATTATGATGTTGCATACCTTTCCCTTAATGTTGCAATGAGTTTAGAATATATTAGACATTGTTATTCCCTTGACGCCTCAATCTGAAGGACCCATTAAACTGCAAGCATCTCGCACTCATCTAGTGGAAGCTAGTACTCACCCTTTTATTCCTTTGCTTCTTTTTCTCTGACTTGCTTCATTGCACCCTGTTAGGTAATAGACACAACTCAACTTGTCAAACAACTGGGTGTAGTGGGTGTATTACTCTTCTAAAGTTTCTTCTTACTCTGAGTTGCTTTGTTCTTATCCTGACCAGTTTTCTCAACTCCCTGAAGTGTGCTCCTGTTGATGTCTCCAATTGCGTGTGGTTGTCTGAATGGCGATGGTTGTCTGCTCTGCTTTTGTTTTCTCTCCATTTTCAGTGTTAAAATATGTACGTCCCCAAGTGTCCAATCGGGTTGCAGTTAGACTGTATTATTGATGGATGGCTTTAGGCCTCCCAAATACCTAGCTATGGTGTGCTCCTCTAGCTTTGTTAGATCACATTTCAGCTTGAGTTGCATAAACTCCATTGTGTTCTCCACCGATAGCTTCTCCTGCGGCAGGTAATGGAACTTTAAGAAATATTATGGCGGTAGCGCGGGGGTAGGTACCGTCGATGCATAACCGTCTTAATTTTCTCCCAATAAGTGATTTTGTCATGCCCTTCTTTCTGTCCCTCCCTCGTCAAGTTCTCCCTCTCCCACCACAAAGAAGCATTTTTCTTCATCTTGATGGCGGCGAGATTCACTTTTCTGTCATTGGGCACCTTCTTATTTTTTAAGGTTCTGCTCAACAATCTGCATCCAGACAAGAAAATTATTAGGACCCTTTCTCTCCTTGAAGTTTCTGTAGATTCACCTTCATTCCTAGATCTTTGTATTCTCCAATAGAATCGCCATTTGTGTATCTTTTAACAGGCATCTCATATTTGTTTCTTCTAGACACTTCATTTCTGTATCTTCTAATAGGCGCTGAATCTCCGTGTCTCCAACATGCACCATAGTTCTGGCCTCCGCGGATATTGTACCTCTCCATTGGAGTCATCCCCATGGAAGTGATTCAGGTGTTCTTCTTGCTCTCCTTCGCGGATTTCACTATCTAGGGGTGGTGGTGGTGATCAGCCTTCGCGGATTTCACTATCTAGGGGTTGGAAGGTGGCGGGGTGATGGATGAGATGGTCGACCAACAAAAAAACAACAAGTTAGGGGTTCCCAGCGTTATGGAAAGCAAACATGCAACATATAACAATTTGGAACACCCATCCTTGATGATGGTTTAAAGGCGGAAGAGCGTGGGAAGGGAAGGAACGCTGGGGAGGCTGGTTCAGGCGGGGCAGCAACAACAATTGCGGAGGGGACGGTATTGGTGGCGGGAACAATCATGAGGTTGCAAGGAAAAGAGGTCTGGATGGTTGGAACAGCTGGAAACAGCCAGGAGTAGCTGTTCGGGTCATCGACAATGAGGGGGAATGACGGTGACAGCGATGAGGGATGCAAGGTACTGCAGGACAGCAAGAGGATGACTGTCTAGTGTGGCGGCGGCAAGGATTTCTGGAAGTGTAGTGAAAGCATCGATAATGGCTGTTTGGGGGCGGCTGCAACAATGGAGGATAGTTGGGAGTGATGAGAGGAGGATGTGAAAGGGGATAGGGAAGACAATCCCCAGCTGAGTAAAGAGATACAACCCGAGCACTATCCAAACCCTCAGATACAGTCCTAGAAGGGAGAAAATTGACGCAACATCTTTCTTAAAAAAACTCACGAAAAAACTAATTGTAAAATATCAGGAAAGAAAATATATTATAATATGATAACTAGGAGTGGCCTAAGAGGATCGACTGAATCACCCACAACGAAATGATCTGCATCGGTTTGGTCCAGACATGGTAGGCCGCTTCACTTCCTGTTGTCAGGAAATCACGCGTAAGCAGGATATGCCCCGCGTCACTGGCTTTGACTGACTTTTCAAAACTAAGAAGATGAACGGAAAAGTTTACTTGTGAAAATGAAAAATCATTTGTTTATAGTGCTAAAATCCCGTGGCTATTTACATTGGGTCATTTTAGTCCCAAAATGTATAATAATGTCAAATAGTTTCCAAATTGTTTAAATTCGGGCTGAAATAGTCCTTCGTATTATATATATAAAAAAAAGATTTAAGATCATGAAGTCACCAATATTTAAACTTAGTTTGAACTAAAATCATTTAGTCACCAATATTTAAACTTAGTCCTTTTTTATTTGACCTTCTTCGGAGTTATGATGAACTAAAAAAACTGGTTAAAACCGTACTATGGAAACTGTAACGTGGCTGGAGTTTATGGCTTTCCCTGCTAGTTTTTTAAGCTGGGTGCCCTTATTGCAGTGTAAGCTAAGTGAATCTGTCCCCATATCCAGGTAAAACTTAGGCGTTGCTTAATACTAGTATACAACCACCAACAGTAGTATAAAAATGGCATTAGTTGGTCATGGAATCAAAAGTGATTATGAGTCCCTACTTGAGGTTAAAGGGTCCAAAGAGGGAGAGCCCTTTTCTGTTAATTGGATGATCCTTTTTGCTATTGCTGGACTAACCCTATCGGTATTTAGAAAAATGGAAGTCCATCTTAACCGCTAGGGTTAGTCTTCCAATGTATGGATTTTTTCCATGCATTACAAGAAAAGGGGCAAAAATCTTTTACTTCTCGAAGACAAGTACTTTATTTTGTTAGGACTTTTTTTCTTACCCGTCCATCTTAAATCTACTACAATTTAGGCTGTATTATATTTTGACATCTGATTAGCAGTTTGACCAAAGATTTTGAGCTCTTTTCATTCATTCAATCTGCATATGGCTATTTTTATAGCCTAATTATCTTTTCCTCCTAGCATTACCTTTTAGTTTGCAAAAGTTGGCTTTTACATCTTAATTTTTTTTCCTATAAAGCTGAATACTCATAAAATAAATGGCAATCCAGGATCTCATTTGGTTGCTTTTGGATAAAAACGAATTAGAAGATGATGGTTTTATTGCACCCATTTTCTTGTGTGAAAAAGAAATTGCTACATTTTGGTGGTTTGCTTAGTTTACAGTTTTCGTTGCTTTATGTATATATATAACCTTGTGATGGAGTGATTTTTTGTACCATTTTTCGGAACTTATTTTCTTCTGAAAGGAATAAAGGGACCCTAATTTGATAATGGAAACAAGATAAAAATGGAAGTTTCTATCCTAAAATTGCCATTAATATATATATATATATATATATATATATTAATGGCAATTTTAGGATAGAAACTTCCATTTTTATCTTGTTTCCAAGGATACAGGAGATTTCATGGTGCAGGTCTTTTTTTTTTTTTTTTTTTTTTTTTGGGTGTGATGTTCAAGCCAACTTTCTTCAGAAATTTTTTAAATTTTTATATCATGACTTTAAATTGTTGGTCATTACAATCAAGATGCACTTGCAGTGAAACCCAATCAATATACAGAAAGTAGGTTCATTTAATTTTTTGCCATGCTTGAGTGGAGTTGATCAATTTATAAATTAGTTTTTACATGAAATTCCCATTTTTGCTCAAAACAAATCTCCACTAACTCGGCCATTTGCTCTGTTAAACTTTTCCATTGGCTCCTATAGTCACTGATTGAATGGTTTTATTGGTAGAAACGCAGATGTGTTAACAAGGACGAAATATGTCAATTTGGTTGACTCCGTAAAGAACTCTGGAGGCTCCGTCCATATTTTCTCTTCGATGCATGTCTCTGGAGAGCGTGAGTAATTCTTGCCATTTTTTTGATTTGGGGCATTTACATGCATATCACCAATGCCTACCTATTTACATATCCAACACCTAAACCTTTCTTTCTTACATTTATACCACTCAAATCAATTGCATGACATAAAAAATTCCAACTATTTTAAAGTTTAAAAGGTGAAAACCTTTGCATGCATAGGTAAGGTGGCATATATGTGAAAATTGAAATTTAGGTGTTAGATTTGTAAATGCTTAAGAATTGAGTGTTATGTGTGTAAATTTTCATTTTTATTTTCTTTAACAAATGATCTCCTGAGGCCTTTTTTCCAATGCTGCCATTTTCATATCCTGTAGATAGTTCTTCAGATTCAGTGAACAAATCTTCTGATTAGCACTTTTTTATTTTTTTCTAAAATTTGAACAGAGCTGGCGCAACTAACAGGTATTGCGGCTATCCTTCGCTTTCCCTTACCTGATTTGGATGACATTGAGATGTAAGTTATTGCAGCATTTTCTCTACTAAGAACAGAGGGATGCATCCAGTCTTGTGGAACTTTCTTTTTTTGCTATGATATTTAGAAATGAAGTTTTTTCAATTAGCAATTAATGCTTACCTTGTCTTTTAAACATATACAAGCTAACAGCAGCAGTGTAAGAGTCCTGTTTTGCCTGTCTTCATTCATTACAGGCAATCAAATTAGCCAAGATATTTATGTACATATGTTTCACATTTATTTGTTTGTTTTGTTCAATATTTAAATGTTTATGATTTTGCTTCTCGTTATTATATTGATTTCGAAGCGTTTTTTTTTTTAATCATTTCTCAAAAATTTGTTTGTGTTTTTCTTCATATACAATTGCACGAGAAGGTTTGGGTTAAATATGTATGCCTTTATTTTTGATGGCATCTAGAAATTGAGGCATCCATCTATGCATTCTATTCCAAGCCAATAGTTTTTTTTATTTGGATAATTAGTGCATAGCACTCAAAACTTTGCTATTTACAAAATTAGCACCCTAGTCATTTTTTTTAACTATAAAGTATAGAAGCAGTGCATTTATGGATGCGAAGATTAAATCATTGCAAATTTGATAAAAATGAAAAATATGAGTTGGGGTTTTATTGTGAATTTTGATATTTGAGTGAGAATTTGAATATACTTATGAAATAGGGTGCTAGTTCTGTAAGTAGCGAAAATTTGAGTGCTATATATGTAATTGCCCTTTTTTTCACTAGAATTTCTTACAAGGATATATCTAGCATGATGATTTCATGGTATCTTTTTTATTTGCAGGCAAGTCAACAAAACTAATATTCTTCATGTATAAAAAATGTAATTGAGATAACAGCAAACAAAACCCTCTGAGCACGTAGAACTTTGACAATTTGCTTAATCAAGTTCGAGATAATTAACTGTTCAACAATTTTCAATTTATGTTTAGCAGTGAATGAAAATCAGATGCCAGAGTAATTATAAAATCCCAAATTTGAGGGATTGGGTTGGTCATTAGTTGGGGTAAATGGTAGCAGGGTAGCATGTACTATTAGGGTTTAGCAATTTCTTTTAAAAAGTCGGTGCCCTATTGCATGGATTACATTTATTGTTGTTGATGTTGGTAGTTGTGTTCTTTAGGGAGTTTGGAGGTTGAGAGCTATGGTTTTGGAGGAGGGTGAAAGGTTTTGTTAGGGTTTATGGCTTCGTATGAAGTGGTAAAGGCTTGGAGAGGGGAAGTTTTTGCATTTGAGTTGTGGGAGTAATGAGAAGAGTAATAATTTCTTCTCCTAAGAAAAATGGGCTAAGATTGGGTCCTCTAGTTGTCCCCTTGTAAGAGAGAGAGAGAGAGAGAGAGAGAGAGAGAGAGAGAGAGAGAGAGCTTACATGGATATTTTTTATAGACAGTGGAGCATAATAATTAGGATGGCTGCAAATTAAAATATAATCTTCTTCACTAAATTTATGGGATTTTACATATCTCACATCTAAACTGTAATATATATATATATATATATATTTGTTTATGAAATATATATATATATGCATGAAAAGATGAACTGCACTTCTAAAAAGTGGTGGAAGTGCTATTTTTTATGTAGTATTAAAAATTTGGGTGACGTGTGTATAAATTGAAGTTTAGGAGGGAAATATATAAATACATAAAATGCACCTAAATTTTTTAAAGAATAATATTGATATATTGCTTGGTTATATTCTAATCGTTTTAACTCACTTTTTATATCACACATAATTATGAAGACAATGAAAATTACGTGCAAATATAAATACAAAATGAAAACATGTATGAGAATATTTGTTGTATCAATCGGCCTTTTAGGAGTTTAACCATAGAAAATTTAGAAGGTGTTTTCATGGTTTGAAGCTATATTATTATAAACAAATTTATATATAAATTTAGATATATCCAATATCAAAATTTTTTTTTTCTACAAAACAACTTGATGTTAAGAATACAGTATAGATCCTTCATGTTATATATTTTTGTAGGAAAAAAAAAATTGTACAAAACAACTTAATTTTTAAGAATACAGTGTCAAAATAAGTGTCAAAATATTTTTTTTTTTTTCTGCAAAACAACTTATCAACAATTATATAGATAATATGAGTGTCTCATGAGATTTTCAGCAATATTAAAATTCATGAAAAGATCTTACTAAAACAAAGAATATATTAGACATTATATTTTATCAAATGTAACATTTAAAAGTTAGCCGTTCAACATCTATTTTTGTAAAAGGTCAATAAATTTTATTCTTTTATCAATTTGCTTACTTGGTTAGGTATTTATTTACTATAAGTAAAAGGATAAAAGATAGTTGTAGAAAGTTCTGAAAGCTATTGTGACTCCATAGTAGCTATAGTAAAGTATGCCTGAGGTAGAGTGGAGGAAGAGAAAACCTGGAAATACTTGATTACCCACACAGCTTGCTATAGTAACCGATGCCCGCGTACACAGGTATGTGGGAAGGTTCGACAGATGAAGTGTTACATGGTTTACCTTAATGTCGCATTGTATGACTGATATGCCTTAACTTGGACCTGATGAGTTGTTACCCCCTCAAGCTGATGAGGTTTGAGACAAATTTGAAGCTTAGGATTGAAGAAACTGAAACTTCTATTTTGACAGAGTTTTAGTAAATATATTAGTGCCCTCAGCTTGTGTTATGACAGAGTTTTAGTAAATTCGGAGTTGATTTGGCCTTGAATGAAGCGGAAATCAATCTCGATATGCTTGGCATGAGCATAGAATGGTGGATTTGAAGAAATTTGGAGTTGCTTTGGCCACGAATGAAGTGGTAATCAATCTTGATATACTTGGTATAAGCATGGAATACCAGATTAGTAGTGATAGCCATCACCGAGACATTATCACAAGAGATTTTGGTAGGATGTGGTTGAACCTGCCAAATTATACAAGAAGGCGCCGTAACCGAAGAATATCAAAGGTTTCGACGGCTAGTGCTCTATACTTAGATTCGGTAGATGAATGGGTAACATGTTTTTTTTTTTCTTAACAATCCTCGATATAGAGATATTCCCCATGAGCGTACAGAAGCCAGTTGTGGATCTGGGGTTCTCTGTGTCCTCGGCCGACTTGGAATCCATGTAAGTGTGTAAGGTGAGCTCACCATGTGTGATCTTGAAGCCATAATGAAGAGTACCACGCATATACCATATGACTCTTTTCAAAAGTTGAAAGTGGTGATTGGTCGGATTGTGCATATGTTGGCATAGGAAGTTCACGGCAAATACTATATATGGATGCATGGTTCTTAAGTATTATAGTTCCCTTGTGAATTGTTGAAATTCAGTAGGATTCACCATTGAATGAGTGTTATGTTCAACATTACCAAGCTTGCATGGTAGTGGTGTAGAGATTGATTTGCAACCTAACATCTCCGATCGGCGAAGAAGTCGACTAAGATAGCTATGCTGGTCAAGAAATAATAAGGTGTCCATTTGAGTGACATCAAGGCCTAAAAACTGAGAATTACAAGGTTATAGAGACATAAATCAACGAACGCTGAGGTGGTTGTTGGGTGAATGATTGATGTTGCTAGAGTCCGGACGTAATATTTTTTTGCTGGTTGTGCATATGACTAAACCCCACGTAGTGGGATTAAGGCTTTGTTGTTGTTGTTGTTGTTGTTGTTGTGCATATGATTGAGGGCAGCACTACCGAAGTTAAGAGCAGGTCCTTCTCTGTTCAAGGGAGGCTCAAATTTTTACTATTTTAGGGGCATTGTAATTATGCTTGATATCTACTTTTTAATAATTTTTTTTGGCTCTTTTATTATTTTGATTAATTTAATGATTTTTAATCATATTGCTTTATTTTCTGAAGCTTCTATTAACTGATAACCTTTAATGATATTCTGGAGCATTTTTGCCCATGGATAATATAGAGCTTTTTACATATACATTGTAGAGGAAATAAATTTTGTTTATTATACTGATGAATCTGAACAGAAAAAAAATCATGGGCCCCAGATTTTTTATTAGTTCTAACATAAATTTAATCAGATGGGAGCTAATTTAATCTGATGTTCTCTCTCATACTACACTGACCAAAAAACATTAATATACCCTAAAAGGAAAATCCATGCAACATCTAACTTGAATTCTATTTTTCCATTAGTGGCTAAACACATAATCAAATGCCTTGACTCCAGTTAGTGCTAACGCCACTTTGACTAGTATGGGGGATGTTTTACATGCCATTAATGGAGCATAATCACAATGACTGTTGCTATGGAGGGTGGCTGTGCATTTTAATTTGCTTTATTTTACCCAGTTTATTTGTCTTGATTTAACCTGTTTGGAGTTTTACAACACGTATATATCTTTCAACATGAATATAATGGCCTTTCATTAGAACTTTCTGTTAGCATTAAATATAATTCTCAGGTCTTCTCATTATTTATTCGCCTCAATAGTACCATAGATTGAGATTCTTAACAACCTTCATCGTGTTCATTTCATGAAGGGCTTTGAAATTGTTTATTATGTTCATTTGTCGAAGTCTTCGCTGGTGATGGTTTCTTTAGCAATATAAATCATCATAGCATCGTTAATCTATGGGAGAGGTCATCCAGTCAATATAGAGCATGCTACGGCTCATTTATTTATTTATTTATTTATAAGATTATGAAATAATTCGATATACTTTGGGAAAAAGAATTACCATGTGCCTTCCAAAATCTATAAGAGATCATAGTTTTATTCGTTGTTCACATTCTGAATTCCATAATCATAGGGAATTTAGATCTTTAAACTTGTGTTGAAGTTCCAATTGTTCATGTCAGGGTTCTTAGATTCTTCGGCTTCATTATTTTTATTTCTCCCATTATAGTGTTCTACGATTTTGTAACCCTCATGCTTTTAAATTCTAAATTTGCTGTCACATCCCATTGTTGTAGTCGGTCGCCTCATGTCTTCTAAAGCTTGCAATCACTTGCCAATTCCAATCATTTAGTATAATTCTATCAAATTTTGGAGGAATGGATGTAGTGATTGCATTTAAGTCACTTGTTGACTCTACATCGCCTAATACTCCTTCAATTAAAAGAGGACTACCAAAGCTACTTCCAATCTAATTCATTCAATCTATCCTCTTAGTATTGTTCTAACCTTCACTTGGTTTAAAATCTCTAATTTAGGAGAACTTTGCGTACAAATCACCAGTCTTTTAAGTTTCTCCTTTTTCTAGAAGAATGATATTTTGATTATCTCCAATTAATA